CTTTTTTTATTGTAAGCAGTGTTTTTTTTTATACTTAATTCAATAAGATATAGAATAATAATAATTATATAAGTTTGTTTAGATTTCTTCATTTTTTATATTTTAATTTAGTTTTTAAACTATGTCTTAGAGTAATTAAAAATATATAGTCTTTCGTATTCAAAATCTTAAATTATAAAATGATTAAAAAACAAGAGTATAAAACATTTTACAAATTATTTGATTTTTTTTTTTTTTTTGTTATACACATTTCAACACAATAAGGTAAGGAAGGTGTAACTAGGATCATTGGCATGCTTATAGATTCTATAATGATCCCACAGCGTAAGGTGCCACACCATAATTTGGTTAACTTTGATTTTCACGATGAAAACCCGCCCCCAATGATTGGAGTTCATTATTTTGTGTGGAAACCTCAAAAAAAGATTGAAACATTTAAACAATTTTCATTTCGTTTTCGTTTTCAACATGCCTTGCACTGTTTATTTTTCGTTTTTTTTTCTCTTTTTTTGTATTTAAATAAGGTGGGTATACTTAAAAAAACGTTTGATGAAAAACACAAAAAACGAACTTTCCATTAACCCCCCGACTACTGTCTCTTTGTTGCTTACCAAAAAAACAAATTTATAAAATAAAATAATACATTACAATATTCCCACCATTGGACAAAAAATTCGTTACTTCGTTTCACTCCCTCCCTCTCGTTTTTTGTTTTCTCTAAGAACTAAGTTTGTTTTTTTATAATTGTACAAAGTAATGTAAAAAAAATGGTAGAGATTTCTTGCATGTGTTGGTGTGTGAGTGTGTGTGGTTTGTTTTCTAATTTGTTTTTCTGTTACATTTGAAAACTGTTTTTATGTAAACAATGGCAAATGATAGAAATCAAACCCTCGATAACCCTTTGCCGCCAGCCATATATAGACCACATGATAGGCACCGGGTATAAAACATATTAGACCCGCCACAAAGAATACAACACCCTGTGATGTATTCGCTGGATCGGCCACGGCAAATGTGCCCATCACAAAAAGTCCAGTGCCAACAATGAGTAGGGTAACAGCGGCCAAGACAGTGCGCCAATTTTCTCGTACCTTTGGATGCCGCCAACAATATGTGCTAACTTCGTCTGTGGAGATGTTGCCATATTCTTGTATTAGGGAATCACTGTCACGTGATGTGGTATCTTCGGTATATTTGTTGTAGCCCCTGAAAGGAAACAATACAATAAATAAAAAATAGGTGAATTGGAAAATAAAAATTAAAAACATCAACATTATTATAAAGTGTGAAAAAGGTATTAAGGTCGGTCGGGAGGAATTTTTTATATACTCCAACCATAGGCATACTGACAGTTATTTGAAATTGAATGATTTTGAGAAGTGTTGGTAAACGGCCGCGAGAACATTAGAAACTAATGGACCCTCCACCTGGCACCAGAAATACTAAATTTAAACAACTTTAAAAATACAGAAAATCGGGGGTATATGGGGACCTATACCTAAAAGTGTACCAATATTGATCATAATAAATATATTGAAAATGTTGCACAGAATTACAAACTAAAATATCAATTAATTTAATTGAAAAGGTATCCAAAATCGTAAATATATCAGAAATTCGGGGATACCATTATATGGGAGCAATACTGAAATGTGAACCGAATTTCATGTGCCTGCAGATAAAAGACAACTGTATTCAACATTCCCTATCTCAATTCCATCGGAAGGTAGCAGACGAAGGAGTTTTATACGCTATGGGGTCGGAAATGATTATATCGATGAGGTACTCCATTTAATGGTAAAGGGTATAAAAATCTATGTTCAAAACTCTGCTAGTAATTGAAAAATGTTGTCTGAAAGTCCATAGTTATAATTCGTTGGGTCCTTAAAAATACTTTTATACCCTACACAACTATGTTGTCAGGGTATTATAGCTTTGTGCAACACCAAGAGTTTGTAACGCCGCGAAATATTGGTTCTAGACCAACTTTAAAGTATACCGATCATATCTCGACTAGCTGAGTCGATATAGACATGTGTCCGTCCGTCCGTCTGTCCATTATAATTTGTAAACACGATACAGGCCATAGTTATGGACCAATCTTCACGAAATTTTACATGTAGGATGGGTTCGGCTCAATGAAGACCCCTATTGTTTTTGGTGAAGATCGGTTAATATTTAGGGGATGAAATGGGTAAAATACTTAATTTTTGTTGTTATTTCTGGTCGCTCCAGAGACCGCAATTATCGCCCGAAAATCGCGATTTTTTACATGGAGAAGGGGATTGGGCCAAAGAATAAACATGCCTGTTTTGATAAAGATCGGTCAATATTTAGCGGGTCAAATGGACCAAGACTTTTGTTTGAAAAATGACAAAATTTGTATTCTATAGCGATAGGTTGGTAGTATATCCAAGAGTAATGATTGACCTTCAAATTGTCGTATGTACTCGGATGTGGAAGTTACATTTAAATATTGACAGGGGCTTACGTATTCATTTTTGGGTTACTACATTACCACACTGGAAGGGGGAAATGTAGCGCTTGTAGCTTTAATATGTTCCCAGAGGTTGCAGTTATGGTCAAGGACAATGCCTATAATTTTCGGTGATGATCACATAAAAAAAATGGGATGAAGTGGACCGAAAACATAATTTATTTTTTCGAGTCGATATATATGTCACAAGCCGAACATCACAACACAACCCAAGGTAAAGGTAATCTGGATAAGTAATTAGCAGGGCTGTACTGAATATTTGGAATATTCGGAAAATATGCCAGTGTAAGGAAGAGCTGCTGTTTACCTCTAATCGGTCAAAAGAGTGCAAATATCACGAAATATTGCCCAGGCTCGAAATAAACATCCACAGAAAGATGGAGTTCCGTGGTAGTTGTGTAGGGTATCGCATAGTCGGCCCCGTCCGACTATACTGCTCACTGGTTAAAAATACCCTATTGGCCATTAAAAAACCTCTTTGAATATTAAGAGACCTAAAAAAGTATGTTTTTATTTAAAGATTTTTTAATCCTCTCTTATAGGATTAAATGAAAATCCCTTGGGGTCCCCCACCCATTCTCGGTTTCAAAAAGTTTAATTTTGTATTTTGATTTAATTCGAACCTACACTAATTCAAGAATGTCCCTATAAATTTTCAAGTCAAAATCTCAACAATTTTTGGAGATATAGCCGATTTATTGCATTAGCATCCAGTGACAGCAAGAGGACTTTTAAAACTTTAAACGCGTTTTTCTCCCAACATCGTTTTTGCGAATGGCGGGCACGATAACTCAAAAATTAATAACCCATTTGAGCCAGACATGTACTCTTTCTTACACCGATGGAATTTTGGGATTTCGATGTTTCAGTGGGGATACCCGCCATCAAAAATAAGGACATTTCTTTGATCACAAAAAACAAAAACAATTTTTTTTTTGTAAATTATTTTCCCTTAATCAATACTCTTTACAAGGTCTATAGGTCATTTATGAAATATTTTGAAAAATTCATATTTAAAAGAAATCGTTTCTAGGTCAGATTCTCGAACAAATCATTTGTAAAAACACACACATATCACCTTGTTGGCACTTGAAAAATTGTGTTGTTTTATTCATTTCCAGACCAATTAAATTAAAGTAATTTCGGATTATTTAAAAAAAAAGTGAACTTTTTGGCTCTTCTGACGAGTTTTAATAATAAACTTTTCTTTAGATAAATTTGTAGGGTGTAGGTTTCCTTGTTGGTCTGTTGGTTATTAACACCAACAATTGAAAGAAAATGAAATTGAAGAACTATTCAAATACGATTTACTTTTCACTGCAGTATCTTGAGGCAGGCAGACATCCACACAATCGCTCTGTGTAAACAAACCAGGCAAAAGTGCATTGCAGACATCGCTACACTACACACAACTACACCACTTATTCAAGGTTGTTACTAAAAATATAAATCTTTCTCTCCTTCTCTGTGTGTTGTAATTTTAATTAATTTAGTAAACGTTGTGTCTGCAGTGTAAGTCATTAAGACGTTTTTATTTTTATATAAAATACAAATAAAAATGACGGCAAATGAAACTAATAATGTAAACGGCAAGGCAATACAGCACAAATTGCAACAGTAGTCTGTCTATTCGTGCATTATTTAAATAAAACGCATTTTTGTTTGTTTGTTTATAAATTCAATAAATTCCATTGTAACTAATATAGACATAAGTCGCATTCAAGACAAACACGCACACACATAGTCAATTTCATGTTTTGTTTTTATCGAATTTGTATTCGCTAATCGTAGCTATCGAATATAGTAAATGCATTAATGATCGGACATTTGTCTATCTTCTTCAATGCATATCAATTGCGAGAATAAATATTTATATTCATATGTGTGTCTGTAGACAATATCCATAAAATGTATTGTAAGTCGCCTAATTTTGTCGTTATAAACGTGGTGCACATGGGGGACTTGTAGGACCTATACATTATTTCTCCAACGATTTTTAATGATGGTCCTTAACATAAACGCCTACAGCTATTTAGGTCTTAAAAAATATGCTTTAAAAATCAACACCTATTTTTCTGCTGCCCTTAAAAGAAATATTTTTTTAAATTCTTGCATATACTTCTTTTGGTCCGACCACAAAAGAAAACATTTTTTAATGCTTTTTTCTGCTGAAACTACAAAAACTAATCTTAGAAAAACCCACGCTTATAGACCTACGTTGGCCCTTAAAAATATTATTTAAAAAAATACGCGGTCATAGCTCTGTTAGTCTTTGAACGATATTCTCTAAAAATCAGGTCCATTTAGATAAATTCGAATTTAATTAGCAAAGACGCGAACCGATATTTTAACATAGTGTTAACATAGGGTTAACAGTGTCGTTAACAGACCTCTGTTATCGTTAAAATTACTAAAAAATAATGATTTGTTCATGAAATTATTAATTTCATATATTAATTAAACTAAATAAAGATATTATGATGGATAATTTCACCTATTAAAGTTTCAAAAATATTATAAGGTAGTTTTGGCGAAAAATAATTAGTGCCAATAACGCAACTGGATGAACAAGTCCAATGTCCATTAAGTCTCCCGGGATAATTCTGCCGGGTCAATATTGGTATCTATGGAAAGCTTATGAAGTGTACTACACATTAGCATTGCAAAAAGGATACCAAGTTCGGGCCGATTTCGCCGTATTTGGCAATTTCTGAAAAAATCCTTTGAAAAGGATATTTCCAGTGGAGAATATGATTTCCAGGACAATTCTGCCGGGTCAATATTGGTATCTATGGAAAGCTTATGAAGTGTACTACACATTAGCATTGCAAAAAGGATACCAAGTTCGGGCCGATTCCGCCGTATTTGGCAATTTCTGAAAAAATCCTTTGAAAAGGATATTTCCAGTGGAGAATATGATTTCCAGGACAATTCTGCCGGGTCAATATTGGTATCTATGGAAAGCTTATGAAGTGTACTACTCATTGGCATTGCAAAAAGGATACCAAGTTCGGGCCGATTCCGCCGTATTTGGCAATTTCTGAAAAAATCCTTTAAAAAGGATATTTCCAGTGGAGAATATGATTTCCAGGACAATTCTGCCGGGTCAGTATTGGTATCTATGGAAAGCTTATGAAGTGTACTACTCATTGGCATTGCAAAAAGGATACCAAGTTCGGGCCGATTCCGCCGTATTTGGCAATTTCTGAAAAAATCCTTTGAAAAGGATATTTCCAGTGGAGAATATGATTTCCAGGACAATTCTGCTGGGTTAATATTGGTATCTATGGAAAGCTTATAAAGTGTACTACTAATTGGCATTGCAAAAAGGATACCAAGTTCGGGCCGATTCCGCCGTATTTTGCAATTTCTGAAAAAATCCTTTGAAAAGGATATTTCCAGTGGAGAATATGATTTCCAGGACAATTCTGCCGGGTCAATATTGGTATCTATGGAAAGCTTATGAAGTGTACTACACATTAGCATTGCAAAAAGGATACGAAGTTCGGGCCGATTCCGCCGTATTTGGCAATTTCTGAAAAAATCCTTTGAAAAGGATATTTCCAGTGGAGAATATGATTTCCAGGACAATTCTGCCGGGTCAATATTGGTATCTATGGAAAGCTTATGAAGTGTACTACTCATTGGCATTGCAAAAAGGATACCAAGTTCGGGCCGATTCCGCCGTATTTGGCAATTTCTGAAGAAA